CATTGTTTTAACACTCCAAATTTAAATATTAAATTTCAAGGAAATTGATTGATTTTTTGTCTTTGTATGGGTAAAAATCTTAAATTGGCCCGCAACAAAGTCTTGTTTCCGAGTCCTGATATATTCTAAAAGTTGATCAATCCGTGACATAGTCAAACCTAACTCACATATAAAATTTCATGAAAATCGGTTCAGTCGAACTTGCGATACACGCGTGCACACACAGACCGATAGACCGATAGGTTGCTAAAAATTGTTTAGTTACACTTCCCTACCAGAAACCCACCGTGCGTTCCCACCGAAAACTCGATACGCAAAATTTGTTGCCATCACATTACCTACCTATTATACACAATGCAGTCGGTAAAAATCTAACTGCAAATATCTTTCCATCAAAATGTACATATGTATATCATATTAGTTATGTTAAGAGCTAATTTTTGTTTTTATCCGAAAAGTAGGCAATAATTATTTATAGTATTCAATATAATTTTAGCATATTAGTGAAAAGAATTTATGAGTGATTAATTTTTTTAAAAAAGAGTATTTTGTTTTCCTTTGCTCAAGAAAAATGTGATAATTCATATACTAGTGGTCAGACCCGAATTCATATTTTTGTATTTTGAAAATGCAGCTATTAAAATTATTAAGTTTTTCAAGTACATTTATACACAAATCTAGTTGAAACAGGGTTTTATTAAATTCTTCATGAACATTTGTGTCAACAAAACAAAATCTACATACATACATACGTACAATTGCATTTTATAAATATAAATTATCGCACACATATAAACTATATTTTGAATATTTTTCTTAATACAAATTAAGAGCAAATAAGAAATATTTTTTTAATGCGCATCATACAAACGTAATACATATATAAATATGTAAATGTAACTTATCAATATAACAAAAATATTGTATTGTAAGGAAAAAATTGTTTCGTGTCAAGAAAAAAACGTGGTTCTAGTATGCTGAGCTCAAAGTTTATGCCACTTAAATTAAAAAAAAACGTATAGCTCTTCATCAATTTGACAGAATGTAGATTGGTTATAAGAAGTTATAATAACTTTCTACGTAAACTCACTCTTCCATATTGTCTTAAACTCACTCTTCTATACAATCTTAATATCTCATCTATAATAATTTCCTTTGCTATTTTTTGCCTTCTTTCCATTTACTACTCACTTACGACAATGCTCGTTGGTACACATGTACCAAAAAATTACATTTTTTAATAATTTTAGTTTTATTGAACGAAATTTATTTATTAGCTTTAATATTCTTAAAACTTATTCAATAACTGTTTTTCCATTTATCAATTAAAATTTTTTTTCTAATTTCAATAAAATTTTTATATTTATTATACAAATTTACGCCCCTTTTATTACGCCATATAGTTTTTTAATCAACTGAATTCTCAATTCTACTACAAATACATATACATTAATTTTTCGCATAATTGATTTTGTCATTTTCTCATTTCTTACTCATTTCTCAATTTTGTATATTTATTTTATATATTAATAATCAGACATAAGTTTTTAGTTCATTTTTATAATCAAGGCAAACATTTTTTTTTTAATAATAATTTTTTTAAAAAAAATCTCACGCATACAATTGAAAATTTATTTATTGACTTTTACGTTACAATTCTCGTAACTCAAATAGTTCTAATATTACCTTGACAAAATTCTATTTATAAAAATATACTCTTCTCATAAATATTTTTATTATGACACTTTAAAATCTTTTACTTTTTCCTTTTCTTATGATTCGTAAATTTATAATCTTTGCATCGTAAATATTTGAACAGCTTCATCATATCTTATTCTTTTATCTAAAATCTAGATCAATAGTTACATTTAAAGTACATACATACATACATATGTGAGATTGTAAAGTCCACGTATGTACATAAAATCATATGTGTTTCTGTCAAATTTTTTACTATATACATATATGTATATGCTAGTAAAAATATATTTTTTTAAGTTTTATGAAGCTATTGAAAAAATTTTGTATTATTAGGAAAAAACCCAAATTTCACCTTAACAGTTGCAGTTAAATTTCCAACTCAAATCTTTAAAAGTTTGTTTATTCGGAACAAAAAATCTACAAAAGGTTACTTTCAAAGCTTTAAAAATGCTGCAAAACTTTAAGTAAATACAACTAGAATTTTCGAAACAGTTTTTCTTTGTAGCAGAAATTTATTGAACACGCTACTTTTTCAAAGTTTCTTCACCACTTATACATATAAATGATCGCTGTATCTATATGTTAGAAATCGAATAGGAAACCTTGTAGAAATAACAAACTCATGATTTTCAGTTTCCCATTACTTTTAAATAATCAGAAATGGTGCTACAATTTTAATTATCACACCTACGCCTAATAAAATAGGAAGCATTCATATATGATACACTTATCATTCATTGCTAGGGTTCATATTTTTTTGTTATTTCAATAAGGGCAATATTATTTTAATATTTAATTAACAACTACACGTTTTTGTCATTACTTTATATTTAAGTACATAAAAACTCTTATAATTAATTAATGTGTTTTATATTAATTTTAGTAGTTCTTCATATCACACCAATAGCGTATGTGCTTATATGTATGTATTTGTTAGTATTAAAATATGAAAATGATAATTCTTAAAAGCGTATTTCATATACGTATGTATGTATGTATGGGAGTGTTGATGAAAAATTATATTCATTGTGTGTTATCACAAAGAATTGCTTTTGTTTTTATTTAATCACTTTGAAACGATTTAATTAGTACAATAGAATTAAAATTGAGTTATTAAAGACTTATTTGTTTAAAGTACACAAGCACAATATAATAAAATTGATAATTTTTTATTCTAATTTTAAGAATTGTGTTTTTTCATTTTTACTTTGTTTGTGCGAAGAAGAGGCTTTAAATATGTCAATTTAATTTATCACCATATTTGCATATTTTGTAACAATAAAATTTAATTCTTTTTCTTTTTAAAAATTATCAATTTCCATTGAGGTTTTTAGGCTTTTCAGGGTAATATTTTTTTATATATGTATATAAGTAGAAAAATCTTTAATAGGTTTATGTAAATAAAATATACTTAATTTAAAGAATTTTCAACAAAAAATATTTTGGAATTGTTTAAATTACAAATTCCTTTTAAATTTTCTGATGTCGGTTCTTTGTAAATTGTATAAAAAGGATATTGAAAAAAACCTTTTTTCCACTCTTTAAAATGTTCTTTTGAGAGTTTTTTCCGTTCAAATAATTTCTCTTAGAAAATATCGTGTTAAAATGAATGAGCTTTTGCAAATGGAAATTTCATTTGAACACAAAATTTCATTTTTTTTTGAAAATAGTCAAATTTATTATAGATTCCCAATTTACATTAAAATAATGACATGCCCGATTCACAATTGACATGTCCGAATTATTTTGACAGTTAGTTAGTATAATGTCGTACATGCAGATAGTAATAAATAGTATAATGTCGTAGATGCTACATTATTTCTCTAACGGTAAATAATAGAATTTATTTTATTCTTATCAGACTTGCAATCGTATTGTTCATAAGTTAAATGTCTGCAATTGATTTTTTATGAAACATTGGAACAATGATTTTTATTTTAGTTATAACTTTTCGTGTAGAAAATTTATTGAATTCTGACGTAAAATATGGGCGTCATCAAATAGTTTCAGTGCGATATGTGAATAGGCATCAGATTTAATCAAGGATTTTTAATCTTAGATTTTGTCGTAAAATGTAAATACATAGATTCAATACAAAAGAAAATTTAACAATACAAAACAAAAATTTTGTATGTGGTTATATAGTATGGCTTTGCTTTTTATTTTTTAGAGTTACAGGGATATGTACTTATCCGTATAAATTTATATGTAAAGTGATAGTACTAAAATTTTGTGAATTGCAGCGCACTTAAGAGTGCATCACTAGTGCATCATATATTTTGGCTTTCTGTTGTAGTAAATTAGTTATTCAGTTATTTTTTTTTTTGTGAGTATTGAAAGTGGAATAGTTAGGTATACGGTCTAAAACTAAATTACAATTTTCTCTATATTTTTATGAATTTATTGAATACCTCGTGATATTTTTACTCACATACATATATGAGTGCATATTCTTTCTAGTTTTTTTCTTATCATATAACTATATTATCATAAATAGGTACCTAATTTTTATGTATGTATAGAAAAAATCTATTGATCAAACTATTAGTAAATTTATAAGCTAATATCATAATTGATTATTAGTCTAACCTTTTGTTTAAAGAAAAATACACATATAAAATTAAACTCAATTGATATCGTAGCGTTTTGTGAAAAATGCCGCTGATATTATATGTATGGATGTATGTATATTGTGTAAATATTTATAATATTAATAATAATAATAAAACACTTATAATTATGTTGATGATAAAATAAATCGATATTATTTGGATTAGATTGTTAGACAACGTTTGACAACAAAAAGTAAAGTTTATTAATTGCCTATAAAACAACTGATCAAGAAATAAAAAATTTTAATGAATTCCGTAAATTAATCAAAAAAAAAAAACAAGTAAATTGTAAATTAAAATGAGCAAAGCTACTCTTTGAATGTCATTTTTCATTTATAAAAATAATCAGAAATTGAATTGTCTCTTTTTTAACTCACACAGATATATGTGCATGCAAATATAAGCATAGTTTTAATCGTTATAAATAATTAAAGAGATCAAAAGTGTTAACGAAATTTTCTAAATCAGTGAACACAAAAATATTAAATTCAAATAAAAATTGAAAATAATTTTTATGTAAAAAAGAAAAGATCAAGCAATATTTGAAATGTGACTTAAAAATTTTTTTTAAAAATTAATGAAAAAATAAAAATTGGTCTTTTTAAATGTATTTAAATTTTTTATTGTTTTGCAATTTAAAATTAAAAAAATAAAGTTATTAAAATAAAAAAGTTCTTTAAAAAACAAAAAAAAAAAAAATTAATATTAAATTTAAAATCTTAAGAAAACTTATCTGAATTTTTACGAACATAAAAATAATTTTATAACAAGGAATATTTTAAACCGATTATGAAAAGTCAACCAGGCGGATCTGAAACGCTGATTGATTCTCCATATAATAATGTGGATGAATCAACATTATCAGTAAAAAAATCTAATAAAAATTTTTTGGGTAAATTACCTTCATCTAAAATAACAACAGCAACAACAGCTGCAGCTGTAACAACATTACCATCATCACGTTTACTTGGTGGTAAATTTTTAGTTACACGTGTACTCGAAGATTCATTTCCAATTTCACCATCATCTAATTCATTACCATCATTTGATATTGATGACACTAAACATGGATTAAGTAACAGTTTTGATGAAAAAAATGAAAGTTTAAAATTAAAAAATAAATTATTATTGCCAAATGATGCTTTTATGATACGTCATAATAATAGTCAAAGAAATTTTGGTCATTTATTAGAAAAACCACCATATAAACTTTTATCACAAGATAGTGGTATCGAAAGTGTTGATGGCCATAATGATGATTTTCAAAGAAGTGGTATTATTGTCGAAGAAATTATTAAGCATAAAAAGCGTATTCATATTAATTCAACATCAAATGGAACAAATTCAAATTCATCGACACCGCCATCATCATCCTCCTTGAATAATTCCAATGAATATATTACATTAAAAGAGATTAAATCTTCATCATTATCTGATGAAGAAAACATAGAAAATCAAAATTCGAATGATAATAATAATAAAAAATCTGAAAAAATTAAAATTGAAATTGATAATTTTGAAACAGATTGTAATATTATAAAAGAAATTAATGAAGCAACTACAAGTACAGAAACATCAGCAACAACTACAACCACATCATCATTAACTTCATCAGATAAATCAAATGAATCAACAACAACAAATGCACCGGAAAATATTGAAAATTCAACTAATTTAAATGATTTTCCAATATTATTTACAACGAATTCATTAATGGATGATGTTACCATTGATCCAAAATTAATAAATCGCAAAGATGGTCTTGAAGATTCAATGTATTATTTAGATGAATTTGGAAGTCCACAATTAAAAGAGAAATATTTTTTAAAGCAAAAAATTAAAGAGGCAAAAATTCTAAGGAAGAAAGCCAAAGAATTAGAAAAGGCTGAAAGAAAAATTCTAAAAGAACAAAAAAAATTAAATAGGAAAAAAAGTTTATCAAAACCATCCCCACCATTAAAAGTCAATGAGGAATGTGAAAAAGATGCTGAACTCAATGAAAATCAATTACAAAATGAAGAGAAAAAAAAATCTGAAATAAGTGATTGTGATAAAATTAATGATAAAAGTGATAAAACTAACTGTGATAATCAAAATTCTACTAATAATAAAATAAATACTAGTAATAAAGAAGATAATAGTGTAGTAATAAGTAATAATAATGTTAAGGAAAATCAACAAACAGATTTAATTTTTGAAGAATCGAATGGAATAATAGCTAACAGGACAACAAGTTGCGTTAGTTGGACAAAAATATGCAATAAATTCAAAAATATTTTAAGTAAGTTTTTGAGAATGTTGAAATATTTTTTTTTTTTGTATTCAAATTATATTGTGGTCATTTTAGTCATATCTGACAGTGCTTCCGTCCCCAATAATAACACAAAAATTAATTGAGCTAAGTTTACCTTTACCAAATTTTCGCAAACGATTTTTTGTGTTATAAACGCCAATAATCTATATAAATTGGATGTGATCGGGACAATACTCAATTTTTACACAAACAAGTACAATAATAGGGGCATTAATTTTGATACTCGTATTAGTCGATGTGATTTCATAACTCCTATAAAGTTTACAACTTCGAAAATTTTTTGTCATTTAAAGTTTGCATGATTCTAATTTTTATAAATACAATTGTGAGGCTGTCATAATTTTATTTTAAGCATATCTAAGTACAATGTTATAAAAATTTTGAAAAACCGTACCTAATACAATGACTTTTACTTATATTATCAAACCAACGCCCCTCCATTTCTATTTTAATGTTAAAAAAAAATGATTAAATCAACGAATTTTTTTTTCTTTATCAAGTCATTCTTAGTTCGAGTAGATAAAGTTTTAGCATTGATAAGAATTAAAAAATAAAAATTTTGTTTTTTGTAAATAGCACTTTTCTTATTTATGAAATTCAAAAGTATATAAAACAAAATAGCGATAATGTATACATTGTAGAAGATTAGAAAAAAATATTCTAAAAAAAGGTAGCAAAGAACGATAAATGTAATGTGCAAATCATAAAACCAACCGAATCATGTGAATTTTAAAATTAAGTATTCATTATTAAATTTAAAATTGTTTAAAAATAGCATATTTTAGAAATAAAGTGGCGCCACTTACAGCTGTCAGAAAAGAAATAAAGCGTCTATTATACATGTATAAAAGCTATAAGAAAAATGAATACAAAAAAAGATTGTTTTTACGTGGGTATTAAAGTATTAAAGAGACTTTAAGAGAGAGAAGGGGAGTTTTGCAATTAAATATTTTATTCAATATTTTTCAATTGTTTCATGTGATAAATTTGTCAGAAAAAAAAATACTTTCTTATTTTAGAAGTTTTGGCTATTCAGAGAGATCTGATTTCAGTATTATTTCCATTAGTACTTAAATATAATTTCATTAAAAATTAAAAAAGCATTGCACTATACTTGAAGGTATTATCACGTTATTGTTCTGTTGATTTTTGAGCTCATGAAAAATAACAGGAATTAATTAATTCACCTTTTACATCACCTAAAATATATTGAGCCTTATTCTAGTTGTCGCGTCACTTACGTGACATTTGTCGTTGTCGCTGTCACATCATTTGAAATGTGGTATTCTGGTTGTGGAGTGACGTGAGTGCGAGAAATAATCGAAAATGAAACGTTTCAAGTGAAATTGATACATTTTAAAAAGAAATTTCGGCGAATAAAGTTCAAACAAAAAAAATTTTCAGTGTATATATTTATATTTTTAAATAATAAAAAATGTCATTTGCATTATGGTTTACGAATTCATCTCATTCCGGTAGTGATGAAATTAAAAAAAAACAACAATTAAGGATCGAAAGATTTAAGATTAGCGACAGCTCTAGTCCATTGGATTTGCCAAATTTTTTCTAGTAAATTAGTTACAAACATTTTATTTTATTCACAGATTTATAAACTACTACAGACTTCCAAAGGAAGCCTTTGAATATTTACTGAATATATTCGAGGGAAAAACAAGTACCCGCAAAAGGCGTGCCCTGTCACGAAATTTCCAATTCTTCAAATTTATAAATACTTTCACGCTAAAAACAAAAATTAAATTATATATTTTATGACTTGATTTATGTATAAAATTAATTTTTTTATGATTTTGTTAAATTCTTTTGTTTTAACTTGCATTTTTGGTGTATCTTTCTTTCTTGTCACTTGTAAATTCTTTTCGACAAAAAATGTCGTTTCGCTACGACATATCTCGCATCAGAACGACAACTGGAATATGGCTGAAACACATTTTCCCACTATTCCCCGACGATTGTCACTGCGATCGCCGCTTAGAATATCAAATTCAAGTCGTAACGACAATTGTCGCTCTACTTCGACAACTAGAATAAGGCTCATTACCAACTAACTGTCACTATTTATTTCTATAACAACAAGATTCCACATCTATTCAAATAGATGGTGAAGAGTATTCGATTTTTATATCAAAATTTTATTATAGTTATTAGGAATTTCTAAAAACTGTTGAAGTTTTAGAAAACTGAATTAAAAAATTTTTGCCGTAAAGTAAGTAACGTATTGCGTTATAGTTATGATTAGAATGATTACATCATGAAATTGCGTGGAAATCATGGATGGACAAATATAAACTATTTTTTTTTATTTTTATTTTTCAAAAATCGTTTTCGGTTTTATTAAATATCGTATTTAAATAATTTCATTTAGAACCAAAATTAACAAATTTAACGCGCAGATATTCAAATACATATCAATTTCCATACATTTAAATAACTCAAATTGAGGTTTCACAATACTTATACTTGACATTTACACTATCTAATTAGTATGTATTTAAATATTGAAAATATAATATAATCAGTATTTTATTCGATTTTATTTCGCACAGCGCTAATAGAAATCTAATTAAATAAACAAAATTAATTCAATCAAGTTTTTTTAATTATATGTATGTATGTATGTATTTAGTAAGAACAAAATTGTATGAAAGCTTTTTTTAAGAAAATTCTAATAAAATCAGAATTGGGTAATTCTGAATTCAGAAAAGGTAACCGCAAAACCGCAAAACCACAACTCCTTTTGCATTTTGTATTCAATATGTTCCATTGCAATTTTTAGCTGATACGTGTAAAAATATCTTATACATTTCATACGACATCCAGAGATAAATAAAAACTCTATCTCGTAAGTACAGTACTCTAATTCCACTCTTCTATTTTGAAAATTTGTACATATGTATGTATACAACTTAATTTTTGGATTTTTAATTGAGTGATGTAAATTTACTCCAAAATCGAATCATTTAAAAGGTTCCAAATTTCGGTTTCTTTTTTTCAAATTTTCTTTTCTAAATCTTGACCAAAAACTTGTATTAAAGTAAAATTTTTTCATTCAAATTTCAGCTTGCCAACAAATTTTCATGTTGTTCTTCAATAAAAATACTCAAATACACAAACACGTATTCATGCACAAATCTTTCGCATATTTTTGTCAAATTTAAAAAAGTGTTAAAAAAAAAATCACTGATCGTAAATTGTAATTAAATATTTCTAAAATTTTGTCCTGATATTTTCGTCAACTTCTATTTTTTTTTGTTTTTTTTTCTATGTGAATATGCAAATATAGAGAGTTTTTTTAACTGTGTTCGGTAAAATACATACGCATGTCTCTGGATATGCGTGTGTGTATTGTGTGTTTACTTTGAGTTTATTCAATCAAATCCCTTGGAAACAAAATTTTCTCTTTTCAACAAAAATTTTTCTGCGAGAATAAAATATGGAATTAGAATTATAAATTTTTGATTTAAATGCATAAAATTCTTTGAAAATAATCTATTTTCGTATGATCATTTAGAAAAAATTTCTTCATTATCATCATTTTTTTATTTTTCTATTTCAAATTTAACTTAATATTTTAAAGTTTACTTTATTTTTTATTTGTCTTTTTTATTTACTTTTTCTCCTTTTTTTTATTACGTGAATTCTGATTATAAATTTTTATATAGAGTACATTATTTTTTTGATAATTTTTAGAAGATTTGCATAAATATTTAATGAAAATAAAATTATAAAAAAAAATTGTTTATTGATCAAACCATCCAATCTGTTTTTAGTGTACATACGTACATGTTTAGAGAAATTCATATGTTTTGACAAACAGATGATTTGGTAAATTCTATACGTGAATTTACTCACATTCAGTAAGCTTTTAGCTATTTTTATGAAATTAATGGATGGGCTCAATTAGCCGATATTAACCAAATATTTATTGTAACGAAAGTACAATTGTTTTTTTTTTTATTTAACTGAATATGTTTTTGTTCATATTTTATTTTATTTACATGTATAAAAAATTGAATTTCTTACCTCAATCCTAATATACATATCTCTCATAAATTTTTTTTATTAAATTACTATAGTATAGACTATGATATATACTTATATACCGTATTTTTGTAATCTAAATGCGGTTAAAACACGGTAAGATGGATATCGTTGCCCAATGATTTTTTACAAAAAAAATTTTCTGGTACTTATTTTAAACATAGCTAAAATTTTACTCTAATAAAACAACATAAATTACAAAATTCAAAAAAAAAAATTTAAGAAAGATATTCAATATATGTAGTTGAATTTAAACCTAACTTTATCTTACAAAAAATAAAAAATGATAGAAAAATGTGCCATAGGTCTGCGGGATCGCTTTTTTATTTTTTACACTTGCCTTCATAAAAAACAATTTGTCACTTGGAAATCTGATAGACAACTTAATTTAAAAATTTTTGTGGTCCGAAAAAAGAAATTATAGCAATTTTAAAAATTCGTGCCGGTTCGTGGGAGCACTAACAGTAGGTGTGAAAACTCAAAAAAAAAATACAATCTTTAAAAATTTTGAGCACTTAAGAGTAAAGCGTGTATCATTTATTTGTATTTTATTGTACAAACGTACATACATATGTCATACATCTCGAAATAGTTTTTATGTCTTAATATTAATAAATAACAAATTATTGCGTCGCATTAAACGGCAAGAGTGAATTGTGAATTAAATATGTATATTATAATTTTTATAATATAACCATTAAGAATGAAAAAGATAAACAATATTTTTTTTTTTGTTTTGGTCACATAAGGAGTCTTAACAATGAAACAATTAATATTATTTTTAGTATTTTAACGCAAAAAATTTAATTTTTTCGTTGGTTCACTGCATTTTGGCTGGGATCGACGAACGTCTATTACAATTGATCCGAAATGCATTTATCTTTTTTTCCGAAATAAAAAAAAGCTAA